AACCTCTACTTTTAACCCAGGGAGCAGTGTGTGGGGACGGTACCTCGCTCAGGGCACCTCAGTGGTAATTTGGCAGCTGGTGGACTCGAACCTGAAACCTCCTGGACCCAAGTCCGCGTCCACTAAGCCACCACTGCCTAAACACAACCACAATCCCAGCAGTAAAAACACACTGAGGCTTTTCAGGGAAACTCTGGTCAGACTCTGGTCAGACTCTGGTCAGACTCTGGTCAGACTCTGGACTCTGGTCAGACTCTGGACTCTGGTCAGACTCTGGTCAGACTCTGGACTCTGGTCAGACTCTGGTCAGACGCTGGACTCTGGTCAGACTCTGGTCAGACTCTGGTCAGACTCTGGTCAGACGCTGGACTCTGGTCAGACTCTGGACTCTGGTCAGACTCTGGTCAGACGCTGGACTCTGGTCAGACTCTGGACTCTGGTCAGTTTTGTGACACCAAGAAAACCAGGTGTGGATTCATGAGAGGATCCACAGTGACACACAGACGTTCTCCTCAGAACCTTGATCCTCAGAACTCCCTCCTCTCCTCTGGGTCCTCACTGGGTTCAGGGCAGCGACTGTAGGTCCGGTGTGAAGTGTGAAGCCCCCCCCCCCCCGCTTTAATCACACTGCTCAGCCCTCCCAGCCACACAACTTTAAAGTGAAGATGTTTTTGGCCTTGATCAGAGCGCCCATCGATCCTCGGCTGATTTCCACTCAGATACGTCTTATTTTATTAGTGGCTTCGGCCTTCTGTCGCCCCATTCCGCTGTGATCAATACCACTAGGGGGAGGCTCATATTTTTCTCACTTTTAGTGCCCTGACGCTGTTTAGCTGTGTCACCTGATAAATGACAGGCCCCCCCCAAACACTGATTTCCTATCGATTTCTCCCTCATTCAGACACTCTCCCCTTCGTCACTCTCACTTTGTTTTTATCTCCAGTTATCTCCCCCGCTCCAGGCTCCGCCCAGTCAATGGACGGGAGACACCGATAATCACTCCCACCACCAGCACTCGCTCCGACACAGGTTGGCCTCGCAACTTTCAGCCTGATGTGACGGAAGCTCATGCTAACACATGCTAACACATGCTAACACATGCTAACACATGCTAACACCCATCAGTCTGTCAGTTAGCTACAGACAGACCCAGCCTCTGGTTTAACAGCAGTAACACGTGGAAGACATTTTTTGGTCATTGCTGTAGCCCAGAGCAGAACCACTGGGGGGCGCTGGAAAAGAAACAATGATAAACATCAACCAAATTCACCTTTTATTAATAATAAAGACGCTCCTTCTGCTCCTTCTTCCACAGGCTGCACCATCACTGCAGTCATTCTTCTTCTACCTGTTAATACCTGTCAGGGTGGTGGGGGGGGTGGGGGGAGTCAGTTCTCCAGTCCATCACAGGGTCACAGGCCGAGACAAACCAGTCACACTGGAGCTGGGGCTCTAATCACTGACCTTCTGTCTGTAAGGCAAGAGCACATACCACTCAGTGTGCCTCCACATGACTGACACACACACACACTTCATCTGTGTGTTCCTGGATGGAGCTCCAGGTTCTCCAACAGTACCAGGAACTGTCTGCACAGTCAGCAGACCACCGGCCGGGCGGCGCTCCAGCACCAGCTAGTGGTGGAGCAGCAAACACATTAATCATGAGCAGGAGAGTGTAAAATTCAATCGGCTCCTTCCATCCATTTCATGTGAAACAGAGTGAAGGCCGGCCTTGTAGTGGCTGAGAACGGAGGGCTGTGCAGACCCGGACCCCCCCCCTTCTCCCCCCCACACACTTCATCAGAACCCCCGACTTCATAACAAATGGACTGTCTCTGTGGCAGAGGAGTGCCATCAGAAACACGCCTCCTCTCTATCCATTTAATTCTGGCGGCGGAGGAAGGGTCAGGAAGGGAGCGTTTGGTGTGTGTGCTGCTCCCCCCGCCCCCTGCCCCCCCCATCCAGCTCCACAGTAAAGAACCTTTTAGGAATTGTTTCTCAATAAGAAATGATCAGTCCATTTATCTGCAGCAGGCGGCCCTGTCTCCTCACACAGACCTCCAATATTTTTCCTTTGACCTCCTCTGGGATATAAAGTAGACGCAGACACTTTCAATTTGTCACCCAGAGACCTCACCCCCCCCCCCCCCCACTGATTACACTCACTTCCTCACAAAAGTAAAAATCCTCCAGTGCTTGAAATCTCTGTCGTCTCCCTGCTCCTCACCCAGAGATGTTCACACAGGGACACACACTTACACACTGACACAAACACACACACACTGCTCCAGCCCCCCCGCACCTCACCTCACCCCCCCACCGGCCCCCATAAAGCATGTAATGGCAGAAGAACAGATGAATGAATGAAGGATGGACGGATGAACGGACACAGCTAGACTGAAACCACTCATAGAATTCACCGGTCGTCAAAGGTCAAAGGTCAGGGTTAGTGACACAGGAACAGGTGGAAACAGGAACTAATGAGCAGAAACATTAACCTGTTGTTTTCTCTCACGACATGTTTGGACTTTGATCAGACGTCGACTTCTCATCAGAAACAGTTAAACATCTGTCAATGATTTTTTTTGACACCAACTTTTGGACTGAAGACTCACCTGAATCTCTCTCTCTCACACACACACACACACACACACACACACACACACACACAGGCAATTAATCAGCAACTGAGTGGAGCTGAGAAACACGAGGAACATCAGCCACACTGATGAGAGACGTCACGCCTCACAGGTCCACTAACAGAACACCTGACGGACTGGAGATGGGCTCGGTCCAGTCCAGATGGGTCCAGTCCAGCTGAGGTGTACCGTCCAGCTCATCACAGAACCACAGAACAAATATGAGTGAGTGGAGTCTGGGAGAAGTGTTCCAGGAACAGACAGAACTGTACCATTCACACCTCTAGTCAGTAAAGAGTCTTTATGTTCTTGGACACACACACACACACACACACACACACACACGCACGCACACAGGGAGCAGTTGAGCTGGGGATTGAACAAGTGACCTACATGTTGTAAGGCCATGTGGGATCAGTGATTTATCGGTTCTTAATAAAACAGTTCCACAGACTGAAGACAAACAGGACGACGACGGTTTTCACCGTTTTCGGTACAACAGCGACATCATCTGGACAAATCCACACACTGCAGACACTTACATAGAACGAGGCTTTTAATTTGGGAACAGTGAATAACAGACACGTCTGTGGGTGTCTTGGACACTGACGGCTCTACAGGTGAACACTTCTACATCACATGACCACGTCACATGCACAGCTAGGTCTCCAGGGCCAAACAAAGCCTGGAGAAAAGCCAAAGGTGGTCTACTGTATGGTCTATATATGGAGCTGGTCTACGTCAGAGAAGGTGAGGTGGAGCTACAGGAACAGGAGCTACAACGGTGGACTCATCCAAGGACAGAACAAACAAATGTGTGTGAGGGCGAACCGAGCTCCAAAACTAAGGTGTAGTTCTCCATCTTCAACAGCAGGAGGTCGGAGTAAATTCACTGGATCGTACAGTATGGCTTTATCCACAGTGGAGCAGAAGCCAAACGACATGGTCCTCTGTGCAGTCCTCAGGTCAAAGGTCAACTCCCTCCAGTCTTACTGACCTGTGGTTGACCAAAGTTGACTAGAACCTGGTCAACTCTGTGACTAGTCAACTGACCCAACGCATCAGAACTCAACGCAGAACAAAGTTTCCATACAGAGAGTGGGACAAGAGGAGGACAATAAAGACCAGCTGGACACGGTCTCTCCACCCAGAGACACAGACGGCCATGATGGACAAGGGAGCAATAAAATAACTGCCTTGTACTCCGAAGCCCGGTATAGTACAGTGAAGTACAACATGCAGTTACTACCATGACTGATAGCAGAGTACTGCTGCCCCCAGGAGGAGGAGGAGGAGACGACAGACAGTCTTTGGACTGGTGTCTGTCTGCAGCTCTTGGTCACAGTGGCAGCTACAACGGCACTTGATGATTTAGTTTGGATTTCACAGCTTTTCACTAAGAATGTTCCAGATTCATTCACTCCTTTCTTTTCATAAACAGAAAAAGACCAACTAGTCTGAGACTCAGTACCAGGACCAGGACCAGGACCAGTACCAGGACCAGGCGTGGGCAAACCCTTTGACTCACGCGCCACAATGTGTCCTAAAGTTTGACCCGGGGGGGAGAGCGTTCATGTGAACTACAATAAATGACAAGTTAAAGTCCTGGGGAAACGTGGGCGCTGCAGGAAAAGGCAGAAACATGAGGACAGTTAGTGACGCAACGAAAGGAAAATTCTTGGCCGTAACCGAAAACCAAAAGAAAAGACTGAGTCAGTTCTCATCAGTAGCAGGTCATTGATGACTGACTGTGAATACATTAATATGAATGTTTCAAAGAATAAACCAATAAAAAAAATGATGAAAATATTTCTTTATCACATTCCATCAATGAACAACATCAAATCAAATCACCGTCTAAATCCCAGGTTAAACCTGACTCCACTCCTGTGTCCACTCAGTGATAATGTCCAGGCCGACTGGTCATCAAACCACAAAGGTCACAGAGGTCAACTGTGGACCAGTTCTGGTGTGTGCTGCTTTATTCCCTCATCCCAGGAACGATGTTTCTAAGATGGATCAAGTCGAGTGATGATGTAGATCTGAGTCCAACAGAACAACAACCTCTCAGAGTCAGCACCACCATCAGGATGTTGGTGGGATTTCAGCTGTGAAATTAAACCTGACCTGGAAGAATTCTTTACAGACTGCCCCCCCCACACCCCCCCACTTAAAATATTTAAATTTCATCATTACACGTTTGTCAAATCTGAGGGTCTTTCTCAGACAGTGGTCTCTCTGACGACACAGTAGTTCTGTTCTAAGACCCACCATGAAGTAATATTATTGATGTATATATTAACCCTTTACGAACCC